GAAAGAGGCGTCGGGGTCTTCGGATGCCTCGGGGGGTCCATGGCTGTCGAGAGCTCCGGTAGCCGTGACAAAGTCATCTAGCTGCTCTTCGTAGAACGAGTCGACAGTGGCGGCGGAAGATGACAAAGTCATGACCTGCGGCCTTCTGCGGCTATTGAGAAGCCAGCCGTTCTTGTACATCTCATTTGAGATGAGGCGCATAATCAGATCATCAGCGACGAGTCCGCCGGACTTCATGGTGTTTTCGACCTTGATGCCTGCAAGAAAGAGAGGTCAGCATGTGCCGGAGGATGTGTAGAGCAAGCGCTGGTTGACAGCGGTAGCATGTGACACTTACCGAGGGGAGTCCGGAGCTTGACATTGTTGCGAAGCAGGTCTCCGGTGCTAATGGATTGAATCTGGGGAAACCGTTGGAGAAGTCGTTCGGACTGCGTTCCTTTTCCAACACCGGGGGCTCCGACGAGAATAACGCGGGCAGCTTTGCGGAGTCTCATAGTATACGCGAATCAATGAACGGTTGGCGGAGGTATATGGTTGAATTGGGAGTGACGGAGGGGTTGGTTCGAGATATATCCGCAGGTACTGTGTATCGGTAGCTTCGAAATTGGCGGGAATGAGATGGCGCTGGCCCCAAATTGTGCGGGGGAAAAGGAACGAGTCGGAATCGCGAGACCCAGACGGGATCGTGTTCGGAGGGGATTCAGGAGAAAGCCATGATCTTTACAGGACGACGGACGTTGGTATATAGCGACAATCTGGGGAGGGGAGAAGAAGAAGGAGGAAGAAAAGAGAGAGGAAGCGCAAAGGTCGAGGTGGTGGTGAAGGAATGCCGAGAAGGAGGGTGGAGAACAGCGAGCGGACGCAGAACCGCGGTGGTGGGATGCAGGCGAGTGCAGCGACGGGGGTGCTGGCGCGCACCTCGGACGGGGATGCTTGGAAATCGGTCGATTTGACGGATGGGCGTTGAGGGGACCCGAGGGAGGAACGTGTGTTGACTCTGGCTATGTGGCCGACGGCCGGATCTCTCTCTCTCTCTCCTCCAAAGACCCTCCACTGGTTCTATCCGTCGAGATTGGCAGCGTGGCAGCGTGCTGGTGCCAATCTTCCTCCACCGGTGCGCCGTCACTGGCTCGACTGAACTGCTTGCTTCTCGGGGTGGGTCGGGATTCACAAATTCACCCCCGTCAAGTTGGCAGTTGGTGCTGGACCCTGAGCCTTGGGCTTGTGCTTCCAAGTTTCCCTCGACTCGTCTGGTCGGCCGGTCTCAAGCTCTAAAGTCCGGGGTACGCTAAGGCAGCCAGGGCACAGTGTCTCCGAGTCTCGTCACTCTTCCGCAGTCGGTAATGATGTCGAGATAAAATAGAGTGTACGGATACGTGCCTTGAAGAGGTCGTGGCCTGGTGCCAGCTGGCAAAGTTACCTCGAATGACGAGCTTGTGATTTCCCACCAAAAAAATGTCGAGCGGAGTCGGGAGAAAAACCAGGGAGTTTTACAGATATTGTTGAGGGCGTATTACGGATTGCTATTAGCAACACTACTGCCACAGCCAGCACATAGGTAACATTCCGATGCCGCACTTGGATTGCCTGTCAGTCATCACCGACCTACCTTACTCAACTGTTTGCTCGGTGTTTCGTGCCACAAACTTCATGTTAAGAGAAAGCCACCAGTCATAGTGATAGATGAGGCTTGATGATGGCGATATAACGGAGCAACAACATCCTCAAGTTTTCTGCATCTACCTTACTACAATGGCCTTCTTGCTTCGATTCTGGCAGCCGTTCTTTGGACGCTTCAGAAGTTCAGACTGGCTGCTGCAAAAGTTACAATAGCCCGGGAACTGTGCCAGGTTGCTGGAAGTTGGCCACCGCGGACGGCACTGCCCGATACCGCCGATCTGTCTCCTCCACATTGCCAAACGGCATCATCTGAGAAGCCCACGTAATTGGAAAAAAGTTCAAGTTCCAACAACAGGTGAACGGCCAGGTTCAGCCCAGGCAGAGTTCCTCGTCAGCGCACTGCCCGGTAACTAGTTGCCGGTTGTTGTCTACTAACACCGACACGGGTTAAGGGAGCGATTTGCACAGCCCAAAAGCCCAGAAAGTCAAGCTTCTGGTAGCTAAGGCCAGGATGACCCACCGATCTACAGGAGACGGCCGTCGTCTTTGGCTTACCCATGTGGCGATGGTGGCAGACGAACGAATGAGCGGGTGGAAAACAACACAAACAGTGGTCGAAGCCTGAGGAGCAGCACACAAACCAGCTGTGCCAGCCCAGAACTGACAAGTGGCACGGGCTCGGCCCAGCGCACCCAAGTACGTACCTGCAGACAACGTGAACCGGGATCTGAGGTTCTACGGTGTACCTACGTGCCTATCTAAGGTGCTGAGATACCTACAATGCAGTGGGTGCTTGCTCAGCATCCCCATCCTCCCGCAGTGCCAGTGTCCAGCCCGCCTTCCATTGTCTGCAAGCGAACCCCGAGAGAAGCAAAGGAGGCAAAACCCCGTGATCTCGCACGTGCTGTTTCTGGTGGTCTCTGGCCCCCCCCGGCCATGGGTGGTTTCGGAAGCCAGGGACAAGTCGTGGTTGCATTCCATTTGATGCGATCGGTTGCCCTCCATTCCAGAATTCTCGAGTTCGTTTCGCATCATTGTACATCTTCCACTTCTCCATCATTGTCTTTAGTTGTAGTATACTGCCCACCTCCAGATAGTCGCCCATGATCGCTACTCTCCGGTAATCCGCTCTTTATCCACAACTACTTCATCAAACTCTCTTGTTTGCCAGTCAACCGCTGCAGAATGAGCGCCTCCGCCAGCGTCGCTCGTCGGGCGGCGATTGCCAACCCTCTCCTGGGCAACGGTAAGTTCATCCCCTGCGTATGCTTCCTGCCCGCTCACCCATCTCCATGGACCATCTTTTTCTGTGCTGGGCGAGGCACGCCTGCAGTTCTTTTCTGACATCTTCCAGCGCGTGCGCTGTCTAGCCTCGGTGTTTCGTCAGCTGTGCTCGGCCGAAACGCAAGACATCTTCCTCGACGAGTAAACGCCCTCGCCCTCCTTGTACCTGTTCGCCATCTGGGTACCGATCATCACAACCACGGCCAGTCCTCCGGCCCGCCGCCGGGCTTCAATGTCGAAGCGGCTAAGAAGCCCCTGCCCAAGGAAAGCACTCCGGCGGCCAAGAGCGACTCAAAGGCTGCTGCCGAATCCAAAGATGCGGCTGAGAGCGGGAGCAAGTCATCCAAGGATGCTGCGGCAGCAGACAAGGCTGAGACCGACGCATCATTGTCGGAACTAGCGGCCGCGAAAGGAACCTCTGCAGACGCCGAAAAGACCGCCAAGGAGAAATTGACAGTTTGGCAGAAGGTCAAGAAGGAGGCTCACCACTACTGGGATGGAACGAAATTGCTCGCCACAGAAGTTAAGATCAGCACTCGACTTGCCTTGAAGATGGCCGCTGGCTACGAACTCAGCCGGAGAGAGAACCGCCAGTTGCAGCGTACTGTCCAGGATCTCGGACGTCTCGTACCTTTCTCTGTCTTCGTCATTGTCCCTTTCGCCGAGCTTTTGCTTCCAGTGGCTCTCCGCCTGTTCCCCAACATGCTGCCAAGCACGTATGAGGGACAAAAGTCAAGAGACGCCAAGGCGACAATCCTCAGAACGACGCGTAAAGAAGTCAGTCAATTCTTGCGGTCCAGTCTTAAAGAGACTGGTCTGCCGTTGACCCCGGCAACGACTCAGAGTGAGGCATTTACCACATTCTTCCGGAAACTTAGATCCTCCGGCGAGTCGCCCACGCGCGAGGACATCATCAAGGTCTGCAAGATTTTCAAGGATGACTTGACCCTGGACAACCTCTCCAGACCCCAGCTGGTTTCCATGTGCAGATACATGAACCTCAACACCTTTGGTACCGACAACATGTTGCGGTACCAGGTCCGTCACCGCATGCGCCAGATCAAGCGTGATGACAGACAGATTAGCTACGAGGGCGTTGACAGTCTCAGCGTCGGTGAATTGCAGATGGCTTGCGCCAGCCGTGGTATCCGCACAGCGAGTGTCTCTCCCGCGAGAATGCGCGAGTACCTTCAGCAGTGGCTTGACCTGAGACTGAAGGACGGCGTCCCCTCCACCCTGTTGGTTCTGAGCAACGCCTACATGTACGGCCAGGTGGCTGCACATAGCCAGATCGAGGCCCTCGTCGGTGTTCTCTCGTCTATCCCCGACGAGCTCTTCCACGAGATCTCCCTCGAGGTGTCAAGCGCCGAGGGCGCCGCTACCAACAAGCAGCGTCTGGAGGTCCTCAAGGAGCAGCAAGAGCTTATTGATGAGGAGAACAGCCAGAACGAGGAGAACGCGAGCTCTGGTTTTGCCACCCCTCGCGATATCGACAACATTGACGAGAAGGAGGAAAGCCAGTCTGCGGATGCTCAGGCTGCTACCTCTACCCAGGCCAAGGAAGCCAAGGAGGCCGAGCAGGAGATGTTGATTGCCAGAGATGGAAAGGCGCCAGTTGAGAAGACGGAGAAGAGCGACAAATAAATCGCTCGCAGCTGTAGACAAGCATTATCTTTTTCTTTGTTAGACGTGTGTATGGCATAAGGCTGGGTAGCGTGTACTAAAAGAAGAGGGTTCACAACACCCCCAGGGAACATCACAGGGCACTAGAAAGATCCATCTCAGGAAGCAAATAGATTCCACTACTGTATAATGGTGGCCGTTGTATGCGTTGCTAGCACACTTTCCCCCATAACGACTAGAATTTCTTAGACAAATCTGTCCCCAAGCCATTTAGCTCTGTAGTTCGTTTCGCTCATCCGAAAGAAGAGTACGGCTGGCCTGAGCTTCCAGTGATACGCTCGACGATCCGAGGCAACCCCCTGGTCTTCTTCTGTCGTCTGTTTCTAGGTTGTGTCTGCTTTGGCTGGCGTCGTCATAGCCCTCCGGAACGGGAGGTCTGACAGTGTTGCACGGCTGCTAGCGAGTTACCTCATCGCTTACCGCTTTCAGGGACAAGTGTGGGTACCTGCCATCTCCCCGCTACCGCGCTGCCCAACCGCATCAGGTCAGCTACACTAAGCTCGCAGCGTCACCTCTCATGGTTCAGCGACAGGCAGCTCTTGCCCATTCCCCACCACTGCCGCCGACACTTCCAGCCCATTGTCCGGCAAGCAGGACGTTCTTTCCGCCAACTCCATCCGTTGCGACGATCCAAGATCAAGCCTCCTCGATCTGATTGTTTATAAACTTCGCGATTGCAATTCCTGTCGTTGCGTCTTCTGGCTCACCCCACGATCCTCATTCCTAGCTTCTCCAACACTAAAAGCGACTACTCCGGATCCCGACAACCACATAACCCCACGTCCGCCTAGCAGGACGCCATGGCGGTCATGGATCAACACCAAGATGATTTCTCTAATGTCTCCTGGAATACGGACGAGCACACTGCTGCCGAGAGCTCGAGTTCAGTGACGGCCACTGAGTACGACGAGGATGCCGATAGAAACGGACACCATGCCTACGAAAGCGACGCACCCGGCAATGACGACGACCGGGAAGTTCTGGACTGCACAGTTTCTGAGCCGCTCAAGGAAAATGAAGGCTCCAAGGATACCTTTGTTTCCTACCTCATCACCACCAACGTAAGTAAATCCAAGGCGCTTTGTAGGGTTTGGCTACGAAGCTGCGATTGCGGCTTCTTCGCGCGCTGACACGGATCCTGCAGACCACATTCCCCTCCTTCCAGAGATCGCACACCACAGCCCGGCGACGGTTCACAGACTTTGTCTTCTTGTATAAGGCACTAAGCAGAGACTACCCTACCGCCGCGGTCCCTCCTCTCCCCGATAAACAGCGTATGGAATATGTTAGTGGCAACCGCTTCGGGCCGGACTTCACCAACCGTCGAGCACATTCGCTGCAGCGCTTCTTGAACCGCCTCTCTCTTCACCCCGTCCTCCGTCGAGCTGATATCCTCCACATCTTCCTCGAGAGCCCCGACTGGAACGCCACAATGCGCAGTCGCAGCCTCAGAGGATCCCAGAGCAGCGATGCCGGAAGCAGCGGCGTGTTTGACAACCTTACCGACAGCTTCCTCAATGCCTTTTCCAAGGCGCACAAGCACGACAAGCGGTTTTTGGAGGTCCGGGAAAGAAGCGACAAGCTTGACGAGGATTTGGCCCACATCGAGAAGGTTGTAGCGCGTGTGGCGCGCCGGGAGAACGATCTTGAACTGGACTTCAAGGATCTGGCAGAGCAATTCCAGAAGCTCATCACTCTGGAGCCTGGCGTCGAGAGCGAAGTCCGACATTTCGCCAATTCGATCGAGGACACTGCTATGGGCCTGCGAAAGTTGAAGGATGTTACTGACGGAGACTATCTCGGCAGTCTCCGGGACATGCAAGCGTACAGCACGGCACTGAAGAGCCTTTTGAAGGCGCGAGAGCAGAAGCAGGTGGACTACGAGCAGCTCACGGAGTATCTTAACAAGAACACTGTCGACAGGGACCAGCTCCAGTCTGGGCATGGCTCTGGAGGCCTGTCCGGTGCTAGCGGCCGACTGATGCGCAAACTCGAAGACGTGCGTGGAGTCGATCACGAGCAGGCCCGTCGTGATCGCCAAAGAAAACTGGAAATGAACATTGACAAGCTTACCACCGAGGCGGAGCGAGCCAAGAAGACGAGCGAGATGTTCGACGACGAGGTTGTCAAGGAGGTCGCCGACTTTGAGCGAATCAAGCGAGTCGAGTTCAAGAAGCAGCTCGGAGGCCTAGCCGACTCCCATATTGAATTCTACGACGAAGTCACGGAAATCTGGGAGAGCTACGTCAAGGCGATGGAGGATGAAGGCGTTTCGGGCACCCGCAGCACCGGTGTTGAGCCTCCCGGTCGCCGCTTGGCGGAGTAGTGCTAGAAGTACCGGGAGAACGTGAGCAGCGAGTTGAGAGCCATCATGCGTAAAAGGATTCGAGAACTGGATGAAGAATGGGCCGTGGATGGAGATTGGGCCGAACCCACCTAATTGGGTTTATATGTTGGTATAGGATTAGCTTCCAATGGCTCCGGAGCATTACCTCGGACAGATTCAGCAGACGGGAGAGCGGGTTATGCCATCGGAGTATCGGACACACCAGTCAGGTAGAACTGGAGATAATCATGAAGATGGGGCGTGTGGATTGCGATTAATGAATCAATACATTTTCTTCTTCTCACGATCGTAAACTATGATAAATGGATGCTGGTAGTCGTAGTCGTACAGTCAATGCGGCCGACTCTACGTAGAAAAATATTTGTCGTTCCGAAGTATGAGAAGTATACTACGGATTGTCGTTCTTTGGCCGATTCGTGAAGGATACCATCCATTCATGCAGGAACAGGGTTACACGATGTGGCTCAAAACGAATTTGCCATCAAGGGGGAGCACTGATGTCTGCCTCTTTGCTATACTGGCACGACTGGTATGCGGGACATGAGTCTCGGGAGGTATCTGTTAAAGTTGTGGCTTGCGTTGGGAGCAGCAGTGCGGCAGAACCCAGCGACTTGGGCACAAGACTAGAGGATAAACATTGTTTGCGGATGTGCGTTCCAGGCGCCTGTTTGTTTCACATGACTAGACACGCCAACGCCAGCGAAGTCAATGTTACTTATTATATGTCACGTACATTCACCATAGTATTGTACGCTGGGATGAAGGGAGGGTATAACACAAGAGTCTGTCTTTTCGTAACATTGCAGGGTGTTGCCATGGTGTGTGCACGAGAGTCGCATACCAAGGTAGAGAGAGAAGAGCACGAACGGGAGCAGATTCCGAAACGGTTGCTTGTGTCAAGCGCCAAGGCAAACCGTGAGAATGCTGAAGCTCGGCCGGGAGCCAAGACTCTGAGGGGTGGTCTCTGATTCGACGTTTGGGCCTTCAGGTCGATACAGCACAATACACTGGTACAGTCAGACCTGACTCTTCAGTGTCCACCTCTGGTCTCGAGGCTGTGAAAAGCAGAATTTCTGTTGCGTCGTATTTTGTGGGAGAAGACCGTTGCCAACGTTTCGATAGATTGAATTCAGGTGGAAAGATCCGAAGCGGTCGTGGGACCAGCGTCACGGTGGGACTGGTAATGGGAGCAACTGTACTTTCTCTGCTCGTTATATCCGAATGGGGAATGCTGACTGTTCAATATTGTGTATGGCTTGAGATTGGCACTCGCTGTTTTCTATGCGTGTTTACGAATCCGAGTACGTACTTTCTTCACCAAGCACCAGTCTTCACCGACGGGAGGCGCTACCAGCTGGTGCTGCAGTGGCACGCAAGAGGATCTGGGCACCTTGACGAAGTCATCCACGAGATCTCGTCGCAACAACGGGCCAATGAGGTGGGGCCGTGACTGGCTGCGCCATTGTTGAAACGGCAGTGTGGGCGGTGGTGCGGCAGTGAGCAACAACGTCTTATTGGGGGCCTCACTGGAGACAAGGGAAGTGACTGCCCGCTGCTCGCCCACCTGAATCGCCGCCTTCCCTTTCGGTATAACGTACCGTACTGCGAACTTACCTGCCTTAGTGCAATGGAGTAGGTACCTGGGTAGGTGTCGGGTCGTTATCACCAGAAATGCGCAGGCCGCAGGACCCCTAAGTCGACGGGTACGGCTACATTTGACTAGCGTCCCCGGGTTTACGTGTACCTGGGGCTGCGACCTGCTGGAGAGCACGAGGATCTAATGCGGCCGTGGCTGGAGGGAAGGGGTCTTTCGGGGGAGTTTGTCTGACTGTAGCAGGTAGCATTGGACGCCCTGTCCGCATTCTTATGTTCCTGCCGTTTTCGAGAAGGCGACGAAACAGCGGCAGAGAGCATTGAGTGCATCTGGCCAGAGAGTACCTGACGGATACGTCTGCCTTGTGTTCCAGGTAACTCACTGGTTCCGTCAGCATTTTTCCATTTCCTCCCCATTTGCTTCTGAGATTCGACTTTCTCATCGCATATTCACTCGTCGCATTTCCATCCTCACTTTGCCATCTGTATCTCCGGTATCGTCGTTATTGGGTGCTGCTCTACCTACGTATACCTATTGGTCATTCTCGTTCTCGCTTGAGCCATTGGCTTCGGTCATATCGATATTAGAGTCCACGACGACGGAGGGTGAGACGGAGCCTCCCCGCTATTTATCACGCATGAACTCTGGGCTTTGCTGCCTTTCAAGTAATACTTAACCAACGATCACCGACTATCTCCATCGAATTTGCACCGCCAAGCCATTCATAAGGGTTTTGCCAGGTGATTTGCGCTGTACCAGACCGGCATACCAATAAAGTACATAAGAGGTGTCCCGTGTATTCGAGGCATTCGTAAGAAAAACGCGGAAAGCAGTCGCGCGCTGCAAGGGAAATCGAGAAGCTTTGGCCATCTTCAAGGGCCGCCCTTGCCACTTGCGACTCGACCACGTCTCGTCTTCCGCTCTCCCCCCAGCCTAGACGAGCCAAGTCTCGTTTGTTCCCTTCGTTCCCCTGATTGACGAGAGAGGTACGTGTTGTGTCCAGCAACCTCTTCTAGATTTACATCTTCCTTTTTTTCCCCTTCCTTTCCCTTTCCTGGTTCGACTCGATTTTGATACGGGCACGAGAGCTAATTGTCGACTCCCCCTTCGTCTTCAGTCCCTCATTCCTTTGCGCATTATCAACATCCCCTCGAGGGGTCTTCGGCAGCGCATCATGAAGCTTTCCGCGGTTCTCCTCGGCCTTGCTGCCCTCGCAAGCGGTACTTCCACCCCTCGAAACTACGAAACAAACGATTACTATGTTCTCGAGCTGGATTCGTCTACATCTCCCGGCCAGGTTGCCGACCGCCTGGGTCTGAGGCACGAGGGTACCCTCGGCAGTCTCGACGGCCATCACATTTTCTCCGCCAGGAAGGTCGAGCACGACATCGTCAAGCCAGCCTTGCAGGAGCGCAAGCTGCGGAAACGCACGCTTGGCGGCTCCGACGTCCTCGATGGCGTCCGTCTTTCGCAGAAACAGCAGCTTCGGAAGCCTTGGGAGAAGAGAGTCCCCCCGCGGTCGCATGGGCCGGCAAATTACGCTCGCCAGGATGCAGCCGACCCTAAGATGGTTGAGCAGATGAACGAAGTCATGAAGACACTCGGCATCGCCGATCCCATCTTCAATGAGCAGTGGCATTTGCTCAATACCGTCCAGCCAGGCCACGACATAAACGTTGCCGGCGTTTGGAAGTCCGGTATCACGGGCAAGAACGCAACCGTCGCCATCGTAGACGACGGTCTCGACATGTACAGCGACGACCTGAAGCCTAATTACTACGCCGCGGGTTCCTACGACTTCAACGACCACCGCGAAGAGCCTAAGCCCACGCTCAGCGACGACAAGCACGGCACCCGGTGCGCTGGTGAAGTGTCTGCGGCGAAGAACAACGTCTGCGGTGTCGGAGTGGCCTACGATTCCAAGATCGCTGGTATCCGTATTCTGAGCAAGCTGATCTCGGATGCCGACGAGGCTGTCGCGATGACCTACGACTACCAGCATAACGACATCTACTCCTGCTCCTGGGGCCCTCCGGATGACGGTCGATCCATGGATGCGCCTGGTATTCTTATTAAGCGTGCTATGCTTAAGGGCATCCAGCAGGGCCGTGGCGGAAAAGGATCCATCTACGTCTTTGCCAGTGGTAACGGTGCCGCGAACGATGACAACTGCAACTTTGACGGCTACACAAACTCCATTTACAGCATCACTGTTGGCGCGATTGACAGGAAGGGTCAGCACCCTTACTACTCCGAGAAGTGCTCGGCTCAGCTCGTTGTCACATACAGCAGTGGCAGCGGAGATGCTATCGTATGTTTCCCAGACTCTTCTAGCTCGACAGGATCAGAACTGACTTGTTTGCGTAGCACACCACTGACGTCGGCCAAAATGCCTGCTATAACGGTCACGGTGGTACTTCCGCCGCTGCTCCATTGGGTGCTGGTGTCTACGCGCTGGTTCTCGAGGCTCGCCCTGACCTCACTTGGAGAGATATGCAATGGCTCGCCATGGACACCGCTGTACCCATTGACGAGGCCAACGGCGAGTGGATGCCGACCAAGATTGGAAAGAAGTTCAGCCACACGTACGGATACGGCAAGATTGATGCCTTCAAGATGGTTGAGGCAGCCAAGGCCTGGAAGAACGTCAAACCCCAGGCTTGGTACTACTCTCCTTGGATCCACGTCAACAAGGATATTCCTCAAGGCAAGGACGGCATCGCGGTCAGCTTTGATGTCACTGTGGATGCTTTGAAGCAGGCCAACCTCGAGAGACTGGAGCATGTGACCGTCACTATGAACGTAAACCACACACGCAGAGGTGACTTGAGCGCCGACTTGATCAGCCCTGAAGGAGTCACTAGCCACCTTTCTGTTACCCGCAAGATGGATTCTGCCAAGTCTGGCTACGTTGACTGGACTTTCATGAGTGTTGCTCACTGGTAAGTTGATCGGAAGAACGACGAGACTTTAGAATTGAAAAGCTGACGACGAATCAGGGGTGAATCCGGCATTGGCAAGTGGACCGTTGTGGTCAAGGATTCCAACGAGAATGAACACAAGGGCACTTTTGTCGACTGGCACTTGAAGCTTTGGGGCGAGTCGATTGACGCTAGCAAGGCAACTCTCCTCCCTATGCCGACTGAGGAGGACGACAACGATCACGCGCTTGTCGCAACCACCACTCTGCCGGCTGCTACCACGACAATGACGCACGCTGCCGAGAACACTGCAACTGTTGTCAAGCCCTCCGACCACCCCGAGCGACCCACCAAGATCCAGTCTGGAGCCGATGCGACACCTACGGAGACTGGCAAGCCGACAGACACGCAGGAGACGCCTGCGGCAACGACCAGCCCGTCCAACTGGGTATCCTGGCTTCCGTCATTCGGAAAGGCCGGTGTTTGGGTCTATGGCGCTATTGGTCTTATTGCCGTGTTCTGCTCTGCTCTGGGTATCTGGTTCTACATCCGCAAGCGTCGCAACAGCGCGCCACGTGACAATTACGAATTCGAGCTGCTCAACGAGGACGAGACAGAGGGTCTCAATGGCGAAAAGCGTACCCGGGGCCGTGAGCTCTATGATGCGTTCGCCGGCGATGACGAGGATGACGATGATGAGACTGGGGCATACCACGACAACCGGGACCGCTCGAGAGAGGGCAGCGGCAACAGAGAGACTGACAGGCTCACTGAAAAAT